GAGAGAGAGAGAGAGAGAGAGAGAGAGAGAGAGAGAGAGAGAGAGAGAGAGAGAGAGAGAGAGAGAGAGGCCAAGTCTTGCTATGTTATCGCCTACAAGAGGTCACAAGGTCACATTCCAATTAATTGACCCATAACTGCACATTGACCTCCGAGTAGAACTTCAATATTTCCTCTGAAGTTTTTCACACTGGCATGTCTATGAAACTGGGGAGCTCTGTACCTGAAACAGACAAAACACTCTACCTTTGATTCACAATCAAAGAATCCTAGGTAAAAAAAAAACTTGCAACTTTCCTTCAAACGGTCAAGGACATGCGTTGTCTGTGGGAATATCAGCTCCATTCGTGAAGTGGAAGAGATGGAACCTTACGCCAGAACTAATAGGCAACCATAGATGTATTAAACAGTTTGTAGTTCGACAGAGCAGCCCGATTGTCTTTCATGTCTATACTACTTTACAGACATTCCATGGTTCCACAGGGCAGATGACTCCTGGAATAGGCTGCAGAGTTTAGGAAGGAGTCAAAGGTATGAATGCAGCCTTACCTACTACCAGACGGTGCTCGGAACGAAGATGGAAACATAGACAAGCCCAAAACAGTGAGTCAACTACTCAATGCCAAGGAGAACCAGATTTGATGTCGGAAGATGCGCCTGATTGCCTCACTCCTATCCTATCCTATCCGATCCGATCCTACTCCTACTCCTAGTCCTCATCTTTGCCTTGTTTTTACTTCCTTTGCACTGCGCTCATTCCGTCCGGGCCATCTCCCGGTCTTCTCCTTCTTCTTCACTCAACCTACATTTTCGCTTCTGTCTGTCTTTCTGACTCGTCGTTTTCTCATATTCGTCGACTTAACCACTTGCGTTCCCTGTTTTTTCTTTCCGTCCACCCCCAATCTCTCTGTCTCCATCTCTTGTATGTGCCTTCCATTTCGTTTCATCTTCATTCGCTTGTAATTTCATTGCATCCCATTTTCCCTCTTTCCTATTTTTTACATCCGTCTCGATAAGAGGTTGGTTACTCATTTAGCAAATTTGATGAGTTACCATCATAAGTATCATTGCATTTTATGCTAGAAGTTTTGCAAAATACGATTTGGCCAGAGCGTAGAAGAATCTGCAGCATAGTTGTCCTTCGGGACACCGGGTAAAAGTGGAACGATACAAAGAAGATTAGCATGACCCCTGCGAAAGGATGACACACATACATCGAGAAATGGTCGGAAAAAAAAGGATGAGCAGAATCGAGTGTTGCAGCATAAATGGAGATCCAAAATTTAATTCCAAAGTCGACAGACGGATAATTTCAGAGAATTGAATCCAATGCCCGCAGGTCCACTCTTCCCTAACGTTCACAATGCTCTACTCCTGCCAAAACTCCATCTCAGCTACGACTTCTTTTTCTTTTTCCCTTAAAAGTTAAAAGCATAAAAACTTTGGAAAACACACAAATATGAGAAGAGCTGCTGAGGAGGGCTGCCAACCTGCCACAGATGAGATCCCCACCTGAATACCATGACGATATATCCGAGGTGCGGTTGTTGACTTGGGTATGATGCTCCTTCATGTTCGCTCTCTGTCAATTCTCACCATCTGCGAGCATGACAGCAACTGCCTTGGCAATGGAAGTTCCCGCCAAAAATCCACCCGTCCATGCATTCTGCACAAGCCAGGCAAAAAAAAGAGAGGTGAACAAGTCATTAGACTCTTCATTACTTGACAAAATGCTGAGCAAGGAGTGTCTACCAACTCAACAGCAGCGCCGAGGTGCTACTTCTGTGTCAGGTCCATCCAAAGTTCCAAACTTAGCAAAAACATACCTCCAGCAGGGATAGAACCTGAGAACTGTCATGCCATCCTCAAGATAAGCTTTATGCACCATTGGGACAGCAATGATATGGACAGCTTCCAGAGAGCAGGATCCCAATCATCCCTATTGGGATCCCAACCATCCGAATCATCTCAATCATCACAATCTCATTATAGCCATCACTATGTCATCATAACCATCACAATCTCATCACAGTCATCACAATCTCATCACCACCATCATCATCGTCACCATCATCACCATCGTCACCATCATCATCATCGTCACGGTCATTACCATGATCACCATGATCACCACCGTCACCATTGTCACAATCATCTCCATAATCTCGATCATCAACACCATCAACGCCATCATCACCATCATCACCACCATCACCCCCATCATCACCATCACCAGCATCATCACCGTCATCACCATCATCACCATCATCACCATCACAACACCATCATTACCATCATCACCATCTGATCAACACCATCATCATCACCATCATCACCATCATCACCATCATCACCATCTGATCAACACCATCATCACCATCATCAACACCATCATCACCATCATCACCATCATCACCATCATCACCATCTGATCAACACCATCATCACCACCATCACCACCATCACCACCATCATCACCACCAGAATGTTTCTTGAACAGAAAAAAAGGGATTTATTCTTGCGATGCGATCTGATATCCCTCAACACACAAGCAAGCAAGCAAGCCTGCTCCAAAATCAAACAAAGCTGTACAAACGAAATGGGAGTGAAGAATCTCGTCTACGGATAAGAAGATTCTCATCTACCAAGTGAAGAATCTCATCTACGGATTGGAGAATCTCATCTTCTAAGGTTTCTTAGTATTCTTACTATTACTAAGATTTGCTCGTGGCTTTTCAACAGCTTTCATAGCTCAGTTGGTTGGATCATGGGCGCCTTTTGTCTGTAAGTGATGTGAGTTGGGGTTAGAGCACCAGTGTTTTTTCCAAGTGATGATGCAATCTGACACAGAGCGCAGGTTATGAGCATCCAAATTGCAGAAGCTTACCTGAAAATTGAACCCCCCTGTGACACCATCGATATCCAGCACCTGGCAATCAAAAAGACGATGAAATTGCAAATCGTTTGCACACCATCAGGTCTCAACACCTCAAGGACTTATGATGAGCAGTAAGAAGTGGAACCAGAGAAGGGAAGGTAAATATGGGTAAATCGAGGAAAGTTGATATAAGGAGGGATAACAACTCAATGGAGGGAGGGAAGGGGGGAGCGAGGGAAATACTAGGGAAGGGGAGGGAAAGGAGGATGGTGGGAGGGAGGGAACGGGCGATGACTGGGTACTGATGGGAGTCTCCCGGTCGCCCGGAACCAACCTCCTTGCGCCCTCCTGGATTGATACGTATTGGGGACATTTTCTGTGCATTTCCTTGTATAAACCTTGCTGTGATCATGCTTGCCAGTGATAAGCAACCGGACTGACGCCCCCCCAAGAATACATGGGGCACCCGCGTGAGTGTGTGGTTAAACAAAAAAAAGGTGGAAAAGCAAAGTGAAAACACAGACACACACACAATCAGTTCTATGCATGCCTTTTTTTCCAAGTACTTTCTGTATGTATGAGTGAGTACCTTCAAGAAGTGCTAAATAGTCTGTGGCGGGCTGTTTGGAGTGCCTGTAACACTATTAGTTAGGAGGGGCACTCAGTTCATGATGTGTGTGGGTCCAGTTCTATGGGTGATGGCAGGCGTTCATCGGAGTCGGCTCCCTGGCTCAGTACGTGGTAGGAACCAGCGGTGTGCGGGGTTCTTGTTGTGTCAGTAGGTGACGGATTTGCTTTGGTGCATGTTGAATGCGTTGACCACCTTATCTGCGCTCCTCCGCTGCGTTACTGCCCACCCGCTTACCATGTCGTTCCCTGCACCTTGTCTGTTTTGTTTGCCGTGTAGTTTGGTTGCCTTGCCACTGTTCCGTTGTGCCTTGCTACGTCGCTGCCTTGCTTCCCATCCACGTGCCTCGTCTTCCCATGTGTTTTTGCTTCTGTGCTGTGAAGTTGGGCCAGTTTTGCAGTGTTGCCTTGTGCTTCGCTGTGTTGTTCCCTTGATGCCTCCATTTGTGCTATCATCCCACACAGTTAGCTTTGGGGCTGTGTAGTCGGGTGGCCGCGTTAGCATTGCCTGGTGCCTTGCTGAGTCGTTGCCTTGCCGCCATTTTCCCTTTGTTGCTTGCACGGACCCCACTTCCAGCAGGGGTCAAAAGAGTCCATGACTCAAAGAATCACTATGGGGTTTCCACAAACTGTCGAGGGTTGAGCCTCCTCATGTGTCGGTGCAAGTCCAACGAACCAGGTTGTCACCACCCCTTCATTTTTCGTTATTCACTTTTTCCAGTTTTGTACTTGTACTTTTATGCCGTTGCCTACTCACTTAACCTTTGTGCTTATCCCGTATCAGAGTGTTTAGCTGTGGGTTGAAGGAGCTATGGTCTTAACCAGCATAGTGTTTCGTCATTCTTGAGGGGGGTAGGGGAAGGAATGCTGGCCCTTGGCAAGATTGGTGCTCATTCCAAGTAGTCAGAAGCAGGGGTTATCCTTCAACTTGGGTATGATTCGCTAGGTGTTGTTGCAGGGTATCAATAAGGCTCGAGCCTCAAGGGGTTAAGAAAAGGAGGAACTTGCTAAGGTGGGGATGGTGTCGGGACTAGCATTGCTCTATTCCCCAACAAAACATACAGGTCAAACTGGTGCAAAAAGCCATTTCAAGCTACTGTAAGCCATTTCAAGCTGCTGTAAGCCATTTCAAGCCATTTAAACTTTGAAACTTTAAAGCCATTTCAATGCCCAATTTTCAAGCAATTTCATGCCAGTAAAAAATACAGCTGAAAAATAACATGTGGTGTACAAAGCCCCATAAGGTCCATGACAGAACGCATACATCGTTTTCTCCTCCTTTCCCAACAGCTCCTGAAGCTAGACAGCACTGATCTTACGAGTAGAGCCAGGCATTTGAAAGACATTCCACGATGCAGACCCCAAATTCGAATCTCAGGGCCAAAATTCCCAGCCCGAGAGAGGCCAGGTCGGCAAGTTTCAGAAAGATTACGTCGGGTACCCCAGACGTCAAGTCCAACAGGTACCCGGTCAACAGTCACATCCAAGAGGCAAAAGTCACAGCCCATAGAAAGAAGTCACGTCCCACAGTCAAAGGTCGTGTCTCACAGGCAAAAGTCACGTCTCATAGTCAAAGGTCATATCCCACAGGCAAGGGTCGCGACTCACAGTCAAGGGTCACATCCCACAGACCCAAAAGCAGCAGCACACCAAGGAAAACCCAGGAAGGTACCAGGCCTCAACATTCTGAAGCAAACAGGCCGTGGGCAGCTGGTACTGGGCCCAAGTCAAGCCAAGCGAAGCAGAGGCTGGGACAAGTCAAGGCTCAGTCCAAGTCAATATAAGGACTGGCCACCACATTTCGGACAGATTGTTCATTCCCAAGAGGTGTGGAAGTGCTGCTGAGGCACTTGTGCGCTATCTGCGAGTAGCTAGCGCTGGAGCCCTGGCTGGGCAGCGCTGCGCTGAGGAAGGAAGGCGGCCGTAGCCGCACAGCTAGTAGTAGGAGGTAGAGCTGAGTAGTGGCGGATGTATCCAGAGTCAAGATCTTCATGGAGAGAGAGAGAGAGAGAGAGAGAGAGAGAGAGAGAGAGAGAGAGAGAGAGAGAGAGAGAGAGAG